GCCATCTCTCGCAGTTACTAATGCGAATGTATTTATACCATATTTATACAATGTTATAGAAAATTCGAATGAAAAAACAGCTTACGATTACCTTAAAACTACGCTTAAATAAAAAAAAAACTGTTATTATTTTATGAACGCAATAATAACTTGAATACAGGGTGACAAAAAATGTTCTTGTTAGACGTAGTTTAAGACTTAGAATTAAATAAACATTTACTGATTGCACCAAGCGTAATATTTATGTAGCAGCTTGTTCTTAATATTCTATTTACTATCTGTGTGTGTATACATATAGTTTTTTACAAGAGTATCCAAAACCTAGTCCTGTTGCTATCCAACGACAACCACTTGTTTGATACCACCAATAGGCGATAGCCTAATGACAATTAGCATGTAGGTCCAGAATCGATTTAGGTCTAAATCTAACCTTCGAATTTAATGGCGAGTATTATACTCAGACAACCGAATAACATTGTCTCAGCTTGGACACCCTTTAAGCACAAGTTTGTATTTAACAAGCAATATGTACATATTCACCACACTTCTTCGTTTTATATTTTGAAAGTAGGTAACATAGGGTTTTACAAGAAAAACTATTGTTTCATAGATTATCTCACGAGAGTGAGTGACAACCACTAAAAATATACGATTGGCTGATTTGAGCCCAAACGATAACTTGAGACATATTTTTTGTTTGAAAAAATTTAACCTTAAGTCTTTTAAATGGATATCCATTTAACATTATTGTTACATTTGTCAACAATACTGTTAAACTAATATAGTTATATAACTAATATAATTCTGATATTCAATGAGAGTAATTTTGCTTGTCAGACGTAATAACTATTAACTATTAACTATGAATAACTATTATTTTCTTACAAAATTAACTGATGTTGAATTTTTGTCAGAAAATTAGAGATAAATATGTTTCTTAAACATTGAGATTGGGAGTAACAAATAACTTATGAAAATGCCATTAAAATTAACTGCATAGTACGGGATAGTGGTTGAGTATCATTGAATATTGAGTTTTGAAATTGGAAAATACAAATACAAAGATAAAATCTACATTTTTGTGAATCTGTCATTTTTGTTAATATCTTTGTGAATAATACCCTATTTGATAGGTACACAATGAAGAGTAAACAAATGATAACAAATCTGACAACAAAAAATGACTCTCTAGAATAATTTACCAGACTTTAATAACGTTCTGTGTAATTATCTGGACTCAAATAGCAATTTAGTTCTCCAGGGGAGCAAGACTCTGTATAGTCCTGGCGGATATTATGGTAATGCTACCTCCTTGATTGCTGTCTGGGTTTGGCCATCTCTCGCAGTTAAATATAAGAAAATAAAATATAAATAAGAATGTATTCAGTAAAACATGCTCAATATCCATCAAAATATTGACGAATAGAATTCACAGGTGTTGTATCTAAAACATTAATATATTCAGAAAAAAACGTGAAGTATAAAATATAGAGTAACAAATAATTTGTAATTTAGATTGCATATTATGTATTTAAATTTTTGTTTGGACACATAAATTTAGTGACAAGAGTTATTATCTTTTAATGACAAAATTCACATTCTATTAGGATCTCCTTACAGTTGATTAGGTTTTAGTTGCAATTCAGCACGACTAACTAAGGATAATTATATCCAAGATTGAATCTCTTTAATGCCCACTTAATTCAACCACTGCTATAACAGTTCTTATTACTGGGGCCATTTGAATATACCCCTGATCAGTTTATTGATTACCTATAGATCTAGTAATTTAAGTAGCTAAGTTAGCTATGTAGCTTGAAGTGTTTTAATTATAGAAAAACAGGACACTTTGGGTTTAGACTAATTCACACCTTAGAACAATGGCCAATGTATTTTATACTATCATAAAAATTGACTGAGTAAAATCACTCTTTAAGGGGCAAAAATGAATAACACGCCTGTTACTTGGTAGCTTTCCAAACTAAATTAAGATAAGGTTGGTAGTAATGAAACATGATTTCAGTTTATAAAATAAATAACGTAACCAGAGTAAAAAAAAACAGCAAATGCTTTTTGATGATACATAATAAAAGGTTAAACTGAAAATAACACAGTGGAAGAACGCATAGCATGGAATTAAGAGAACATTCCCAATAAAATAAACATGGTAAATTTACGTTGTGTTTTACTGCAGTGCTAAACTTTGATACACTGTATCATCCGGAGCTATTTTTGTATTTTATAAACAACGAAATTTCCTGTAGTTTTCCTAGGGGTACTATACCTTGGTTGTTTACACAATTAACTTTTATCTCATTATTTTAAATTAAAACTATTGAAATACTTTAGTAAAAAATTGAGTTTTCATTAATAGATGCATGGAGTGGTAGATGATAAGGTCATGTCTAGTTACACACTCTATCTACAAACATTTTTTTTTAAATATAACATCCTAACCACCATTTGAACTAGTTAATATTGAACAAACCTACCAGAAAATTGCATGCCAAGAATTATACTCCGTATTATTATAAATATTAATAATATTTATTATTATAATAATAAAGGAGACTGGGACGGGTGGCGTCGTCCTGTAATCCAGCTACTAGGAGTGTGGATATTTATAGGCATGCACTGTGGATGCGATACTCCCTGGTGTGGATTAACTTCCGCACGGGTGAGTACTATGATTATCCGCAGTACTATCCTGATAATTAGACCAATTCGTATATACCAAGGAAAAAAGTGGTTCGGATTCCACTATAAACTGTAGGTCCCTTAGTCGCCATTAGCTGTATGGGCTATTAATTATTACCAGCTGTGTCTAAGGAATATGTCGGCCTTAGTCACTAACAAGACTACAATATCGCGCCACTCATCTTACACTCATCTCCATTCATACTTGGCTTTAAATACCTACTTTGTATGGTCGCCATTTCAAAGAAAAGTATAAAGTATAAAAGTATCTTGGAGTGTTGTTTATAAATTAAATCATCGGGACTATTCCCTCTGACAAGCCATTGTTAGACATTCTCAATTCGGAGAGCTTTTAGTGGCTAAAAGAGACTACGTATGCGATATTACTTTTTAGCTCTATATTTTGATAAACAATGTAATTTTCAAAAGACACATTTTTTCTCTTTGGATGCAACGGTTCGTAATCCAGACTTATATACGCATATTGTGAGGTGTTTGGTTAGCAATTTTAACTCATACTGTTGACTCTTAAATACTGATCATGAGTAGTGCCGTTGAATATTGGCATAAACATTTGTGTTTTATTCATATTATGTGGTTCGTTAAAGAAATGCTTATATCAACTTTTTACGCTGCACGCTACAAATGTGTATGCGAAAACCTAATAACTACTATAGAACCTAATTATATGTTTCACCCGTTCCTCTTTTATCTTTCAAACTACACCAGTGGTGTATTAAGGGCTAAATAAAAAGTTGGTTTAGCAAATCGTAAAGTGCTTTTAAGAAACAGGTTCTGTAAAAAAATATTCTTTTCCCACAGTTAACTGGCAACACAGGCTTCCTTGCACTGATTATAGCACGCAAAGTATCTAATGGCTGCATTTATTTACTTTTGCCCCACTAATTTTACTCTGCCAGACTCCAGTGTTCAAACCAAACAACACAAAACAGTGTTTTTTTTTTTTTTTTACCAGGCACGTTATACGTGTATGCTGGAAAATAAGTTGGCAGCACTTAAAGATACTACGACTACGATCAGCTGTTGCTGTGTTTCCCATTTCGTTCAAACTAAAACGTGCTGTTTAGTATTTGATAGACTAGTTATGTATATGTTTTATAGCAACTGTAGAACAAATATAATGTATAACGCGAGCGCAAAGTGCCTTTGCTGCAACCGAGAAACTTTCATCTTATAACCACTTATCTCATGTGCAGCAAAGTGCCACTTCACGCATTAGCCCCACTATTAACTATTTCAAGATGCAAAAGAGAGTTGTGCGGGAAATTTCAATTAGGTTTGCAAAAGCTCCCAGTTATGTATCTAACGAGTAACGTGAAATTTCTATTTCAATGGGTTTAAAAAGTGCATATCTGTTTACCTGCTTCCCTAATCAATTATTTTGTTACTTTTCACACCCCTTTTTGGGATACCAACGAATATCAAATCTACTACTACACAAATTTGTATAAATAATGCTAGGCCTATTTACACTTTATGTGACATAATCAAATGTGAAAAGCGAATAGCGAACTATTCGAATCATAACTTTGGCAACATTATGATGAAGCAATTGCTAGCAACACTCTCATCATATTTAAGTTTTGTATAAAGTTGTGTTGTTGCCTATTTAGTGATTCTTCATAAAAAAAGACCCATCCGGATGGTTAATCTTTCAATGTCTGCATCCGTTTTCGAGTTTGATTACACCTATATACAGCAATTTTCAATAAACTCTAAAACTTAAACTCGCCTCCCAGTGGACAATATTGAAAAGATAATTTAAAAAAAGATTATACTTCGTAAAATACATAACAATTAACAAATAAATTTGAAAAATAATATGTAGCATTAAAAGTGTAAACCCGTTTGTCAGCAATTACAAACAAACTGTATTAGCTCTGTTTTTATAACAGAGTTGTTTGCTATGCTGTCATTTTACTGGATAGTTCATGCTGCCATTTGAACAGCTAATCATTTTAACTTTATTGTGTGTGAATGATGTATCTAATTAAGTCCTTTGGAAGGTTATGACGTGTTGTATAAATGAAAAAGAATCAACGATTATGAGTCGGTGCTCTGGTTGGTCGAGTTGGGACTAGAAATCCAAGGCAGATACTGACGTATTTTTTGGATTATGGAGCCGCAACTTAATTTCATCAGTACATACTGATGTGCTCTCCCAGTTAACTCCTTACCTTTTTTAATACGTTCCACGTTTAGGTCTGAGGCGTACGTACCTAAGAAAATCATAGGTAGTATTTCGACCTCTTCAAAACTCACCAAACCACCCTTTTTTCTAGGGGTTGGTGGGCTACGGAACGTCACTATCAGGGTTCCTCTAGCCGTCACTGCAGGCGCCACCGTCTCTCTCTTCTGCAGCTATGATCTGGAGAACGAGCCTCTCTACACCATCAAGTGGTACAAGGGAAGACAAGAATTCTTCCGCTACGTGCCCAAGGAACTGCCTCACACTAGGGTGTTTCCCATCAAGGGGTTCAACGTGGATGTGAGTATACTGGCCTGGAGCTAACATTTGTTATACAAATGCATAAATGATAAAGAAGCTGAACACTCATATACAGAGTAGGTGAATACCGGTGGTTCCGGACCGGCTGAATATTCTTACTTATGATAGAAATTAAAATTACATAACTTTGCAAATTACATTATGAACTAAAATATAATTTCTTTTAGCATATTACCAACTATAAATAATTACGAATGAGGGGTGGCCTACTAGGAGTCAGAAGAAAATGTTAAATGAATGCGTAAATAAAAAGGCGTATAAAATTTAAGGTTTCTGTTAGGAAATGCACCTCAACGTTAAAGTCAAATTAACTCCAACTCCACGCTACAAATGGCACTGTTCAAAGTTTACTTTAATTTTGCGAATTTGAATCTTAGAATGGCAGCCGTTTTTACTCAGATATTCTTTTTAATCTCAAGTTTGTATTGTATTCGTTAAGTTAGGGCATTTAATTTGATTGGCATAATGGTCTATGTTTACATTTATGATTTTCTTCCGATTTCCTGTGGGCCCCACCCTGAGGATGTAGCGTACAATTGCTTGGGAAATTCAAGTCATATTTGAATGACTGCCATTTCTGCCTTGGTTGTCGGTTTGTAGTTGGGTTTGTGGCATTGTGTTCTGCTAACAAAGAACTTTAATATGTTGTATATATCAACCTAAGCTTTTTTTTTGCTACCGACTCCTCGGGGCCATCCACTAGCTGAGGTTGATAGTAGGTAATATGAAAAAAATATATAATTTTAGTTCCCAATTTAATTTGCATAGTTTGAATCTTCTAGCATAAGTTCATAATAAAAATCTTCAGCCGTCCCGGAACTTTTCATCAAACTTGTATATAAAATCTAACTGCACTGATACAAAGCACAGACTTAGCAACCACTGACTTGCAGGTGAGCCTGTCAGGACCAGAACGCGTCGTCCTGAGAGATGTCAACAGAGCCATGTCAGGTCGCTACTTATGTGAGGTGTCTACCGACGCCCCGGACTTTCTAACCATGGTGGTGGCTGCTAACATGAATATAGTGCGTAAGTGTTACTTGTTTGGCTACCGCTGCGTATTATAGAAAAAAACTAATTTTCAATAGTATAAAGAATAGTAGTTCAGTTGTTGGTCAGTAGTTTTTCGACGGCACTGTGTATAAAAGACGGAAGTCTTTACTACGGTTCCTATTTAATATTTGCAAATATTCTAATTTCCTACATGAAGGTATTCTCGCACAAAATTGGCACACGTTAAAAATATCAGATAGACTATTTGAGCAACAGTTCGATATAAGATTAAATAACAAATATTATACAGATAAGCTTTTCTTTTCACATTGTTTTTTACTAGATCTATGTTTTATTTGTATATATTTTTTTACTCTAGATAGGCCAAGTAAATATGCATACGCGTATTTCTGCGAGTATGTTGATGATGTTTGCAAAGGAACTTATCCACGAGTTTAAACTAACGATGAATTAGAATTATTATGCCAAAAACTCACAAATAATGCGAAATATACAAACACATCATCATACAACGAAACCATATTTAATCTAATAAACTCTTTAAAATAATTATGAAGGTAACAAATTATTTTTTAAACTCTTTCTATCATAGGACGTTAAAATGAATAAAAATGAAAATAACGATAATTTTAAATAGAGTTAAGTACCTAAGTGCACTAATAACCCATTTTAAACCATTAGTTAGTAATGGTACGTTTTTACTATAATGACAAGATAAAGTAGGAGAAAAGAGACGCAAAGGGCACAATAAAGGCCAGAAGAAGCAATATCTTTTATAGAACGAGAAGTTGTTTTATGTACCGCAATATTCAGCTCTAATATTGCCAGCCAAAGTCACGTCCAAATCCTGTTGTGCTTCTCTCCCATTCTAAGGTTTCAAATTTAGTGTGTCTTTAAATGTAATGTGAAAGTCGCTTAATAATTGTCGTAGTAAAGTTGTAATAATATATGTAAACAAAATTGGTTCCACAACAAAGTAATTTTTTTGAAGGGTATATTTGAAATAATAGTTTCTACATTTGTACATGTTAAACCTACACAACCAAATAAAATGTTTGGTCAGGACTGAGATGTCTAAAAGCTAACACGTGTTGGTCCATAACAATCTTGTTAAATCTCTTCCAAGAAATGCTCAGTAAAGAGGGTTGAACGAGTCGTCATACCATACCACTAACGGTTCAGTGAAATATCTCCCCGTCTATCTTATCAGCATTTTTGTTAATACATGTATTCTCTTTCTAGTTTGCAAAATGTACGTTAAATTACATAAATCAATTAGTAATTTGTGCTGTAATTCTATTTATTTACACAGGACCGCTGGACCAGAAGCCATTATTGGAAGTAGACAAAACAAAATACTCCCTCGGGGAAACTCTAAGAGGAAACTGTACTTCACCACCCTCCAGCCCTCCAGCGAACCTCACACTATACGTCAATGGGAATAAGGTAACATTAATTTTAATAGCTACCTAAATGCTTTTGTACAGTTGTTTTCAACTTCTTTGAACTTACTGTTGAATAATACTTATTTTCAAATGCATGATGTGATTCTTCAAGTATTTACTGAACCAGTTTTAAAGCTTAAAACGACTAATGGAAATACATATTCTTGAACAAAATTAATGTAACAAATTTTGAATAGGCTATTGTTGTAGGTTGAATTGACCATCAAAAATAGTCTGTTTAACAAAAAAAGATTATTTATCATCGAGAAACACCTTTTAATCCAATATGAACGTGACGTCTCCTAAAAAAATTAATATGTTGCCAAAATACAACATTTTCGTAATGTTAGGTTATATTGTTGCATACTGGCAGAAAGAATTGTGAAATTCCTTCAACCGTCATGTTAACATCTTGAAAGTTTCGCCTTCATTGAAAGATATGAGTACAGGTAGATGTTTTAGGTTAAAATCTATCAAAATAGTAAATTTAACAACCATAACGACTTTTAATTTCACAACTATTTATTATATTCTAGGATCTTAAACGAATAATTCGTTTGCTGATGGAAATTGTACCTTAAAACCACGTTTAACTTAGTCACAATGGATCAACTAATTATTTTTTTTCCTTGCAGGTCCGGCCAGGACCTTTCATGAAGTCTCACTTCTTTGGGGAGGAAGATCACAAGGTGACGATCACGGAGGTGTCACTAGAAGTCAACAGTTTCCTTGGGTCTAGAGTGAGACTGCAGTGTGTAGCAGACCTGTTCGGAGTGTTCACATCGTACAGTGAAGTGATTGAAGTGGTTGTGGTCGAAGACAAACCCATCTTGGCCTCAGTTCTGGACAACAGAGAGAACCGAGGTAAGTTGGGTTTCATAGCGGTGTATTAGCAGTGAAGATGTGTAGAATCAAGAGGAAGGTTAAATTAGATTCTAACGTTTTAACTCCAAAATAAGTTAGGAGATGGTTAAGCACAAATACCCTCTGGCCTCCTCAAGCCTTATTGAGTACATAAATACACTTAAGTGAAAATTGGTAGGCTAATTGTTTTTGTAGCTGTCACATTTTTGAAAACTGACGTTGTTTTATAGGTACTCGGGTTGGATGTAAACCCATTTCGCAGATTGGAGTGATGACGATTAAAATAAACTAGGGTTTAAATCAAAGTAGATTTTAGTGAGCTAAGATAGAAACAGCAGAAGTCAACTACGTCTTGGGGGAGAAGACAATGCTTAGGTATATTGTAAAGCTATTTGTGAAGTAGTCAAAAGTGACATAATTAAAGTGATGACGGTATAGGCTAAACTAACAATGACGCTGAGTCTAAACAACAGGGGGACGATAAACTGGGTTTATATAGAGGGCTAGTGTGTGCTTGGATGTAGGGTGATTTAAAAGTGTATTGTTTATATATGTGTAAAATTCGTAAAACTCAATACTGTCTGGATGCTTGCCTACAACTATATTGCTTAAAAAATTAAACCTACAAACCCTCCTAGAGGCCCAGGGCCCTCGTCTCCACCTCCTTCAGTGGAACACTGTTATCCAACTCGCAACGCAACAGACACAAAGACCCACCCTTACGAATCAGTAGACCAACCTAATTAAAGCAGCAGCTTTCTGTAGGTCAGCACAACTAGTTATTAACAATAGCTTCAAAAAGATGAATATTAATTTTTTTGGCAATTGCGAGATTTGAACTAGTAAACCTCTGGTTTTTGTACATGCTGTTCTTTGGGGTTGGCTTATTGGAAAAAAGTTTTCACTTCATCATTGTGGAATTAACGCAACGGTCTGTCTGAAATTAACAGTGGACACCTAACAAGATTCACTCTGTATATTAGCAGGAAATTGCATGGATTTATGTTTTAACACTACATTCTGGTTAAAACTTTTTGAAACTTTTATTTTTATTGTTTCCAGGTCAAACAAGTAGGAGTTTTGTCCTACTGGTATCAACGCTAGGAGCGCTAGCGTCTCTCCTCAGGTAGCAGATGTAAGCGCGTGAACTACTTCTACCGATTCGGAATCGTTTCCTTCCAATCAAAAGTTAATAAATAAAGATGTTACCAATTTGAAAATTGTCATGTGAAAAAGATAACTATATTACAATGTTGATGGGGTGTGTTAATGTTGAGAAGCTCAAGTCTGTCCCATTTTTATGTCCCTTTCCCCTTCTAATTGCTTTTAACCCATTTGCTACAAGTTTTGTACAAACCATTTGATGTTCTGGAATAAATGAAAAAAAAAATTAGCAGGAACTCTTACTACAAATTTATTGAATAACATTTGAAGGATGAACATATTTCTATAAACATTAAGTCTCCAATGTTAAAACATAGTTCAAATGAAATGTTGATTTACATTTTCACTACTTCTCCTTTGATGTTTATTTATATTATTATACTACCTTTAACGACGTTTATTACGACGTTGGCAAGTGTAATGCATAACTATACACATTTCTTTCACATTTTCCAATCAATGACGCAAAATAAAAAATACGGATTGCAAATAAGTTAGAGGAGCATTTAGTGTTCATCAATTTACCTGCTTTATAATAAAAAAATAATACTTTGTTTTATGGACAGTAGGGTATAAATTGTTGTTTGGAATGATGATAATCTGTATTTTTAAAGTCAATCATGATTATCGTTTTATAAACGCAAATTATCAAATAATGAAAATTTATCGACCCCCTCTCTTATTTTAGAATATAATAATGGAGTCACACGAAGCGATGTTGTTATTATGTAGCTTGTAAAAGATTTGTGTGCCAAATACTCTTTTATAATACTAAGATGCTTAGATTGTACATATTGTATATTGTAGTTAATAAATGACTGTACTATCGTATTTAAATGAAAAAAAGACTTATTTGTGGTGTTGTAATTCAAAATAATATTTTATTTAATAAAGATTTAAACAAATAAAACAAGTGATATAATTTTACCCGATTTTGGACTATGTTCAGAGATATTTGAAAATTAGGATAAAACAGGTTGAGGCGATGAAAGTACTCCAAAGTTCTTTCGCTATAATAAAGTAATAGGAATAAACTAGGGGACCAAACATTGCTTGGTGGTGTTTAATTTGTTCAGGAGTTTAAGAATGAAAAAACATGGGACTTACAAATTTATAATTTCCGAAAGATTTTGGTCTTCAATAAGAACAATAATATTACTAAATACTGTCTGAAATATGCCTTTGAAAGGTCGTATGCCCTCTAAATTTAGTGTCAAGCCCTAGCCAGCTCAATTGGCAGATTTATTTGTTTGTGATTTCGTCCTTTTGGGTTGTTTAAGTACAAGCTTTTGTCTAGTCACGCCATGGAATTGCTCAAAATGAAGCAAAGAATCGTCTATGGAAGGATTCCTGGAGATATGCTTAAACTCGAATTTGGTGAATTTTTCAAGCAAATCGAGAAATATTTGTTAACGTCACAATAATTAAAGATATCCCTCCACAACAAAACTGCAGACTAAGCTAATTTAAATTTTTCTAATTGTATTTTACCTTAAATTTTTTCATGAACAAGTCACATTTATTACAAAACTTAAACAAATATTATTATATAAAAAATAATTTGACATGATATAAGACATGACGAAAGTTAAGGTAACTATATGGTGTAGCTTTATAACTCAATATAAAGTTTCGTTGAACAGATAATGAAAATCATGTTATTTAACTATAATATATCTATATTTTTGAGTTGAAAGCTAAATTTACTTTTATAAAATTAGTGCTGAAACAAAGTTATAAGAAGCTAGAACTTTTGTGAAAAACAAATCCCCGTCAAAATGTAACCTGTGTCATGGGACCGATCTGTTGGAAATGTGGTACAACTTTAGAAACAAAGCTAAGTCGAATATAAGTTTTCTTGATGTTAAAGTTTGTTTACGATTATTGAATTACCATACTGTAAAAATAATATGATATTCACATTAACCCAAAGCTCTTTACAGCTGTATTTATATTTGTTTTATAATTTGAAAACCTGCATTTTGAAACAAACCTAAGCCAAGCTTATAGGTCTATACAGTACCTAATAAATTTAAAAAGTTTAATTAAATGTTACTTTGTAGCCTAGTAGGTACTTAAACATGCAATCGTCCAAAATTGAAACACATGATAATGTAAAAAGCGTGTGAAAACGTATCATTAATTTTATACTAAATATACAACTATGGTGCAACGTCCAACATTAGATTAATTTATGGAATATACTTTTTTAGTATCTCGTAGTACTGCAACAGGGGGAAAATGTAGCAATCATAAATACGGTTTAATTAGGTACATGTGTTAGTTTTTTAATGCACAGTAAATTCCCACACATTTAGTAAATTCCCTATTCAGATAGTAATAATTGATTACGAAAAATCTTGTTCATTTCGGGTGATTTAAGGGAAATTCAATTTTAAAACATGGCTAACTTTAGCAATAAAATGTAACTTCATATCATAATACAAAGTCATTTTAAATTTTACCGTAACCTAGAAGAAGTTAAAAATATTTTTCCCACCATAAATTGAGTGTGGTACTTATAGTTCAAATATTATATGTCAGTCATGCAATACCTTTCTTAATCTCTAGTCAGTAAAGCTGCTACCCGATAAGTCGGTACGGTTTTCTGTGAGTTTCGGTTGAAAATAATATCAGTACCAACTGTTTTATACTATATTCTCTTTAGCAGATAGGTTCATCTGTGTTTTGTCTATATTTAAAGATGTATTTTGTTTAAGTCTTACTCTAATAATTTAGTTAGTAGGTATCGGTGCTAGCTCAATCAGAAGTCAGTACTTATTTAACGGCATACGAACACGCATATAGAAATAACCTGTTTTAACTACCTAATTATTCTATGACGTCAAACAAACTCGAACATAACACCAACCTGTTTGAACTTCCTAACCCTTAAATGTCGACATAAGAACACGAACATAGTACCAACCTGTTGGAACTTCCTGAAACTCAAATGTCGTCATACAAAGATGTACCTCCCATCAAACAGTTTGAGCTTCCTAAAATTGAACAAAAGTCCCCAGCTAGCTGAAGACCTAACTAACGGTATCAACCGTAATAATACCAACTCAACGAATTATTAAAATCCCCTCCTAGAAAATGTAGTAAAAAGACAAGTCAAAAATATTTAATAGAAACAGTACATAAACGAGTCCTTCTGAAACACACGGAACCCATTAATGCTTAACACAGTCATCATCACGATCACTCATCATATCATATCATGATGAAACAATCTCATTAGTTGCCAACATAATGGTCTGAATAATTGGTCGTTCCAATCATCAGATCCCACTGATCAATATCACTTACCTACGGAGTAACCTAATTTATGCAGGGAAAGCCACCATTATGAAATTATTAGTGACAATCAAAACCATTTGTGAAACTGCTAATGTCAAATACGTAACCGTTCAACATGAACGCCAATACCTGACAGAATCTTTAAATCAGACATTTTTTTTACCTTTCATTTAAGGATTTTTTTCATTAGGGAGGTACAAGCCCGGGGTTGTTTTTCACATTACTTCAGGCTTTTTTTTTCCTAGGACGCTAGGCACGAGCCTGGGATTGTTTTTCACATTACTTCAGGCTAGACCTAGGGGTTGCGGCATTATCACTTAGATAAATCCATTGGTGACTTGGCGGGGATCGAACCCGGGACCTCAGGGACTGAAGTCCCGCGCTCTAACCACTACGCCAGCTCGCTCCCCGCTCTTCAGGCTAGATCTAGGGGTTGTGGTAGTAAACTTAGATAAGATTTATTGGTGATTTTGCATGATTTGAAACCGGGCCTCAGGGATCGAAGTTCCACGCTCTTAGCACTAGACCAGCTTGCTCCCTATCATTTAGGGATCAATGAATAGATAAAAAATAGCAGTTAAGTTATTGTTTATATTGTTTAGCATTTTATTAAAGTTAACCGATGACTACCGACTAAGATGTTTAACCATAAGAAAATGAAAAACTGAAAAAGTATAGTTGAAACGGTCTTGTTTGAAGAGGAAAATTGTTGCTTATAATATAGTTTGGAATTTGCTCCATATTTATTTTTATTTCCATATATAATTTGTTCCATAATAGAATATAAATGTTGGAGTTGATGTCACAATTTAGGAAAACACGTAACGCGTAACATGTGAAGAATAACCTCTTTTAGTGGGTTAAATTCCAGTGTTGGAACCTGTTATAATATCTTGAGATCTAAAAGGCGGCCAATACAGTAGACTATTTGTGTCTGTGTGATGTACAGTGGTACATACAATGTATAATAAAAGTACCTAGTACCGTTTAATTTTTCTGTTGTCTTTCTTTGGCTTGGTCGTCATAATACCTTTGTGTGCTGACATGCGGTAATTAGTTTTAAAACTTTAAGTAAAATACATATTTCATCTGAACTTTAAGAGAGCAATAATGTTTAATTGTGTGGTAAACTGACTAGTAATGCCAGTTCATCTTGGGAGACAACATTATCGTAGACAATGTGATTGAAGTTAGGACAAAAAGAATAATAGAGATCGCAGAAATTGAAAACAAATCATAAAGGGAATACAATAACTATTTAAAAAAATTGTTTTTATATGAATTTTTATTTTCCTACTATTTACGAGACTAATCAATAAAATAATAGGGTAAATTGTTTTCAAGCTTTACATCTGCTGAATTGTTTATATACTCAAAGCTGAAACGTGGCTGATTTCCTAAGGGTGTTCTCAATTTTATACAACCGGGATCTGTCCTCTAGTTAGTTATTAGTATTGTATTTTTAGAATGATTGTTGGTATAAAATGACATTTATGTAAACCTTTGTAATTTAAGGATAACATTTATCCTAGGGAAGTTTTATAAGATGTAATAACAAAATGGTGTAGCTATGCGATGGAAGGATGGAACTCTGTAAAATGGAAACAATGGTATTCTGTGAAAAACTTTTGGTATTTTTTCGATAACCAAGTGTTTTCAATGGGTTTTCAGAACAACAATAACCAATATGTGCATCTACCGTCAAGCGGATGAATCAATCATATTACTCTACATAAAACATTGTAATAGCAAACAAATGTACTCTTTTTTGCTCACAAATATAAAGATCAGTTTATTTGATTTTGGGTGCTTAGGTTTTATTGAGAGTAACAAGAAAATGTGGAAATAATATCCAATGGAAAATGTTTTTGACCTAAAACAAAAA